TGTTCGAAATCTCCCTCCAAGCTCAGATAAATAGTTGAGGGCCGTGTGTTCAGAAATATTTTAGCACAGGAAAACCTTCTGAAGATCAGGCCTTAAGTTGCCAAATTTTTACACCAATGTTAAGAGGATTTTTAATGGTCCCCTTCATATCCATTCCAACAGGTCTCAACGACCATGAGATCCTTTCTCAACTCACAATGCTGCTATTTGCTGGTTATGAAACCAGTGCCACCACTCTTGTTTTCTTAGCATACACTTTGGCAAGGAATCCTGAAGTCATGAAACAACTGCAACAGGAGATAGACTTAACTTTTCCAAATAAGGTATAACCAATATTTCTCTGTCTCAGTCCGAATTAAGAGATAAAAATGAATAAAAAAAAAATAATAAAACCTCTGTGTTTAAACTCCTCAGGGTCTGGTCCAGTATGACAGTCTGATGCAGATGGAGTACCTCAGCAGCGTAGTGGATGAGTGTTTAAGGTAACATGTATTTGCGGTTTGGGTTTAGGAACAGGAGTTAAAAGTGTCTCATTCTTTTTACAGGCTCTACCCCCCTGCTGCACGTATAGAGCGAATGACTAAGGAAACTGTCAGGATCAAAGGAATCACAATACCAAAGAACATGATTGTTCAGGTTCCAGTCTATGCCCTGCACCGCGACCCAGACCTGTGGCCTGATCCAGAAGAGTTTAAACCTGACAGGTAGCTGAGATTAATACCATCCACAGTTTATACCTTGCTAACAAAGGTTTGGAGACTTCTTATTTGTTTTTATCTTCATGACTGACATTAAAACAGATATATTTGGGGCTGCAGGTGTATATATACGATAAAGCTTCAAACTGCAGCTCTGGCCCTTCCTATACAGGGCGTTGATGTTGTGACTCCAGTCAAGGTTATTATTGTCGTTAGCACCCAGGTATTTGAAGCTCTCCAAAGTTTTTATTTCTACTTTTTATGGCAAATCCTTCAAAAATATAATGAAAAAACCTTTATATAAGATATGCTTAAAATTCTGAAAATGCAAAAACTAGCAAATAAGTGCAATATCCAACAGTCAACTGTTTAGAAGTTCATTGCTGAGAGATGCATCATTCTCCCAAACTAGCCTCCTAATGCCAAGATTTCAGATAATAGCTCTTGGGGATTGACTAAATGCTAAAATGTGTTTGTGACATTTTTTCTTTTTTTAAATTCAGCTACAGTAAGGTTACTTTTAAATGTGGACACATGTTTACTCTTTATCTTGAAGTTGTCCACTCATTTACTAAGAGGAATTTATTTAAAAAAAGAATTTGTGACCACTAGAACAAGCAGCGTAAGGAGGCGGATTGTGAGATCCAGTTTAGGAAATGCACCTTTGCACAGAACGTTCTCTCAGTCAAGGGATGCACAAGTTGGAATGCACTGCCCATAGCAGTCAAGGACAGCGCCACCTTTGTTTAATTTAAGAAACAACTTAAGCAATAGCTTCTTGGTAACCAGATTTAATATCACTAGGAAGTACATTAGACGCTTAAAAGTGTAGAATCTGGTACAAAGCAGTTAGCAGTATCTACCTCATTTAATACAATGCACCTTATTAGCAAAGCACTTTACCATTATCTACCTAAATATCAAAAGTACCTTGAAACATAAGCCTTCCTCAAGTATGCAGTCCTGTTCACTGCATTTTATGTCATCTGTGGGTATTGCATTGCGTTTTCTTCTGAAACGGTCTATTGTTTTTATGATTTTTGAATGTCCTATGTCCTTGTTCCATGTATGTTTTATCTTTGATCTGTATTTCTTGTTGCACGTATCATATGTTTCCTCTTGTACCTGCTGCCCCTATCCTATGGGACCATGGATGGAAACCAGCTAAACCCAAGTGTATTTATAGCTCCTACTGTTCATTAATACATGCTGTCCCTTTCAAATAAATATATTTGAAAATAGTCAATAACCAAAACCCCACCAGACACCATGACTAGCACCAAGAGCAAAAAAAAAAATCTTTAATCCATTTTCTAACGACCTCAAACAACATAAATTTGGGGATCATAGAAAGAGCAACCTGTTTTAGTATTTTCCATAGCAGAGAGTCAGTGAAAGAAATAAATCCTTATGCATCCAATTCATTGGACAGAGTTAATTTCTTAGCAACACTCCCTGTAATCCAATGCACTGCCAGATGTTATTGCTTCCTACTACGATATATAAAAAGAAACTTTTCTGCTTTTTTACATGAAAACTGATGGAATTTAAATCTGTTATTGATCCATTTCTATAAAGGTTTGCATACATGGTCTATTGACTGAAACAGTATGCATGTTCCTTTTTGAAATGTATGAAAAGAACAGATAAGCAAGACAAGTGCAGTTGTCATACAATCTTAGATCAATGGTTCTTTTGTTTTGCTGCTCTTTTTAGATTTAGTAAGGAGAACAAACATAATATCAACCCATATGCTTATCTGCCATTTGGAATGGGACCAAGGAACTGTTTGGGGAAGAGATTTGCTCTGGTGATGATTAAACTGGCCTTGGTTAAGGTACTGCAGACTTATAGCTTTCTGGTCTGTGAGGAGACTGAGGTAATTTTATATAAATAAATAATAAAAATCTCATTGGTCATTTCGAGGAAAGAAAAGAAAAAAAAATGTCTGACTTTTCTGTTTCTTGATTCCCAAGATCCCTCTGAAGATGCACCCTGAGGGCCTTGTGGGACCCCTGAAACCAATCAAACTAAAGCTCAAGAAACGCACTGTTGTCTCAGATGTGGAGAACTAAAGACAACACCCTGTCTAATTTTACATCACTCAAGGCTGAGAATATTTGTGAATATTGTTGTAGTGTGACTCGACAATTGACTGACAATAATTCGGAATACAATATGAATGGACATGTTGACTGAAGCGGGAGGAAATCTGAGAAAGTGTTTAGATTATGAAGCAAAGTTGACGGATGTGTGTGTACACAGTCTTGCTAATACTTCTATTAGTGATAGCAATGGTTTTCTTATGCCACTGTTCTACAGTCCAGTTTGGAAATATAAGCTGCTGGCAAAAGGGGCATAACAATGTTTGCGTCTGATGATCACGCCTGGCAACAAACTTCTGTTCAAGCTTAAAAAGGACTAAGTAAACACTATTAAGACATTCACTTGGCAAATATTATTTTATTTGAAAAGTAATGCTTTCCTATTCATAGTCCGTGATTAGTCCCCTATATACCAACGACCACTTTGGCATGATTTTTGTTTACTCAAATTCTTTTAAAATGTAAACCAAATATTTTTGGTGGTTTTGTTAAAAGTGCTAAAAAGGCTATACTGTAAAACACATAGCAAAATTTGTATGTTACTGCAAATAAGGTACGGTATTTGGTATAGCTAATAATTTGACTTCTCAACACTAAGGTGGTATGGAGACTGATGGCCAGTCCTGAAGGCCAGAACACACCTGTAGGATACATCTTTTTAATCTCCGATCCCATTTTCTTCCCATGTCACACTGACTGCATATAGAGGAAACAACTAGGCAGGGTGGGCAGATTTATTTTATTTTCCTGGAGATTGACAATGCACTTTCTGTCCCTCGTTTTTGCACCAGTCTGTACTGCTTGCTGTGTATGCTCTGTGCGACTCCAGAAGTGATTTTTTCCACGTGATTAACAGATTTTATTTTGTATTTTCCCCCTAAGTGGATGTGTTTTACTTTGTAAAACACATCTCTCTTCATGTCAGACCCATGAAATAGCCGCTGAATTTCTGCGTAGTCTGACTAAAATAGACCTGGGGAGAAAAAAAAACAAAAAAAGAAAAACATGGACACTGAGGATTAGAGCTAAACCAGACTGGAGTTAAGTTTATTTTACGTTATATTTTTCACATGTACTAGAAAACTTATTTCATCTTGGCAAGCGACTTTGTTTTTTATTTGTTTTTCTTTACTAGTTGAAAACTTATTTTATCTATGAAGGATTTTGA